TAATATATATTATTTATTATTTTAATAAAATCAAATTTTAAATATTAGCGAAAATAACTTTTTTGTTTAAACAAATTTTAAAATAATATCAAAATTATGAAATATTTTTTTTTTAACAATATATTAAATTATTCAGTAACTTTAAGAAAAATAAATTCCTATTTCATTTTATATTGTTTTTAAATAAAAATATAAATAAAAATTTAATAAAAAGATTATTTGAGATATTTTATATCTAATATTAAAATTATATACTTATTTTATGTAAATACATTTTCAATAAATATTATAATTTCAGTCAATAAAATGTAATTTAAATATAATGTATAATAGTTTATCTTTTAGATGCAAAATTTTATAATAATAATATTTTGTATATTATATAATAATACATGATACTAAAATATTTTAAAAGAATAATTATTTGAATATATAATAAATTTGATAAATTAAAAAAAAAATATTAGTTTAATATATTTATTAAAAAAAATAATATATATATATATATATATATATATATATATATATATATATTTAAAATGCAATGAAAACTTTTATTAAATTAATAAAAGAATTAAATTTATTTTAATTTAGTTTTTTTTCTTAGATATTTTTATTATTAGATATTTATTTTAATTGATTTTATTATTAATTAAATTTAATAATTAATTTATTTTATGCCAATTTAAATTTATACTTTTTTTATTTTGTTTTACATTTTTTAAAATTCTTATGTTTTTGCATTTTATAAATAAGTTTACTATATAAAAAATTTATTTCAAAATAGCATTTAAATATTTTGATTAATATAATTTATAAGAATTTATTGTAAATAATTAATCATTTAAATATATTAATTTCGCTTAAACCTAAAATATCAATTTTTTCGTGCGTAAAATACTAATTTTATTTAATATTTAAATTAAAAAGTATCAATCTAATCTATTTCTTAAAATAAACTTAGATATAAATGTTATCAAAATCAAGTTTAGGTCGGTCATATAAGATTTAAAATAGGTTAAACGATCATTTTTATTCTTAATAATCATATGTAGATTATATTACTTTTTATTTTTTTTAAAAAAACACAATTGAGTCGAAAAAAATAAATTATGACATTCATTTTTTTTGACTGAATTTCTATAAAAGATATAGAAAAAATAAAAATTAACGATGCTAAAAAGTAATATAAGAAAATTAGATTTCTTTTCAAAATATATGTCTTTGTAAGGAAATTAAACATTTATATATTGTTTATGATTTTTTTGATTTTGGGCTTTTATATAATTGATTTTTCTAGTGTTTAATTTTTATCATTATTAATAATTAATTATTTTATTTAAAATAAAATATATTATTATTATATAAAGTATATTTTTATATATTTGCATTGCATGCTATTTTTGATTCTTCTACATAAACGCAAGAGTAGAAAAAAAGAAGAGAATAAATTAAAATTATATAATTTTTTGTTTCCAAGCATTAAAAAATATAAATTAAATATTAAATGAATTTATTAATATTGCATATAATATTTGATAAATATGTGTTTTCTATTGAAATATATTATAATTATATATAAAAATGCTTAAATTAAAGCTATTAACAATAATTTATTTAAAATTGGCTATTTAGAAGTGTTTTTATATTTTATTATATTAAAAAAGTAATTTATTTAATTAAATCTATTTATATTATATTTAAAACAAAAAAAAACAAAAATATAGGGCCAATTTTATTTTTTATCATACAAAAATATAATTTTATTATTTATATATATTTTTAAATAAAATATATGTTTTTTTAATTATAATAAAAATTATTTATTCCCAAAAATATAAAAATAATAATAATAAAAACTTAAAGTTAAAGTAAGTTTATAGTTTTTTATATTTTATGATAATAATTTAAATATATATGATTATATATATTACTCAAAGAGTTTTCATATTCGGTATTTTCTGTTTCTTTCAAAAGTTTTATCTTATTTTTAAATAAAAAAAATTAATTAATTATTTTTTTATTAAAACAAAAAACGAATTTATAACAAACAAACAAAAATCTTCTCTTATTATTCTTTAATTTTTCTATTTTTAAATAAATAATAAGATTTATATTAATAAGTATATATAGAATTGATTTTTTTTTTTTAATATTTAAATAATATATATTAATAATAAAATTAAGAAATATTAAAAACTTATTTTATTAGAAAACTAGATTAATATATATAAAGTATTTTTTTACAGAAAAAATGAATACTTCTATTTTTAATTTTGTTAGTATTTATAAAAGAAATAGTATAGAAATAAAAATAAAGAAATATATATTAAAATAGGTATTTTTATATAAAAATATATAAATAATATGATTTATATAATGAATAAATAACTAATTTATTTAATTAATTTATTTAAACAAAAATAAAATAATATTTATTTTATGTTTTTATAATAATATTTCTAAATAAAAAAATTAAAAATCCTTTTTTTAATCTTTTTTAAAAAACACATAAAATATTTTTTTCTACATGATTAATAAAGAAAAGGCAAATATAATTATATCTAAATTGAATAAAAATAAATTTTATTTTTATATATTTTATTAATAACTAAAATTTTTTATAAACTTTTTTTTTTTTTTTTTTTTCCCTTAAAAAAAAAAATCATTTTTTTATTAAATATTATTTGTCAATATAAATTAATCTTGTTAATTATTATTTTATTTTTTTAAGAATATAATATATTATTCTAATAATATTAAAATACAATTTTATTTAAAATATGTCTATTATTTATATAAAAAAATTATTTTTAATTTAAAATTAAAATAATTTAATTTTATAATTAAAAAATATATACATAAAATAAAAATATATTTTTTATATAAAATTAAATATATATAATTATAAAAATAATACAATATTCAACTATTATTTAAAAACCCTCAATTAAAAAAAGATTAAACTATATTAAATTAATAAATAAACAAATAACTAATAAGTCAACAAAACAAAAACAAAATGAAAAAACTCATAATAACCTTATTATTAATAACCTACATTTTTAGTTTAAAAGTCCTCAAACACTAATGTGCCCACGATTAAATGTAAAAATTATACAAACACGAATCAATCACACCTGATATTGAATCTTAAGATATCCGTAATTTACACAAAAGAATCCCACGTAATATGATAATAACCTATGACATGTCTTACTTCTAAACATTAACTAAACCTTTTAAAAAAATTACTGATATCTGCGAGAAAGCGATAAAATTGGCAATTGAATATTTTTCTCGTCTAATAAAAATAATCCCAAGATCTCAATCAAATATGAAATACAAAACTTCTGATACGTGTGGAATAATTAATATTCCTTAAATAGACAAAACTTAAGGAAAAAACTCTGATTTACATTTATATGTATCATATAAATTTGAAAGTGAAAAAGAATATTAAGCCTATTCAATATAGTGTTAACATTTGAAAGGTATAGGACCTACTCATGGTTTAATTAACTTTAATTTAGATAAAATGCCAAAATTCGAATAAAATGCTTTTATTGAATTTGAAGATATAATGGAAATAGTTATCCATGAAATAACTCATATATTAGGTTTTAGCGATTATGATATACCTTAATGGATACTTCCTAAGGAAACTACTCATGCTTTTGTTAAAAAATAAATAAAGGGAGTTGATACTTTATTTCTCAAAACTCCTAATGTTTTGAGGTATGCTCGAGAATATTTTAATTGTCCTATCTTAGAAGGTATGCCTCTTTAAGGCGAAAATTCTAAAAATTCTCATTGGCCAAACACAATTCTCCAAAACGAATATATGAATACATCCGTATCATTTACTTAGGCCTATTTTAGTAGTTTTACAGCCAATCTTTTAAGAGACACAGGTTACTATGCTGAAATAAATGCATCTATGGAAGAATAAATGTTTTATGGAAAAGGAAAAGGCTGTGAATACGTTATGCATAAATGTGATACTGCTTTTAGAGAATATTGTAATCCTTAAACCGATGTTGGATTATGTGATTTTTACCACCATGGATTTTCTAATTGTAAAACTGGTTTATATAATATGTCTAATTGCAATAATTTATTTACCTACGATAATGGAAAATGCTGGGATGTTAACAGTGAATATAACACAGAAACTTTTAGAAAATAAAATGGAACTAAATATGGGACTGATTCGAGATGTTTTAACGGAAACTTATTGAGTAAAAAATACAAAAAAAATGAAAAAATTCAGGGTAATTGTTATTAATATGAATGTAATCCTAATGGATAATAAGTCACTATATAGGTAGATTAAGTAAAACTCATTTGTACAAAAAATTCAGAATAAAAAACAGTAGATAGTTATCATGGATATATTTAATGCCCATAAAATATACAAGAATTTTGTGGGTTTAAAAAAATATGTCCAAATTTCTGTAGCGCAAATGGAATTTGCTTAAAAAATTAATGTATTTGTGTTGAAGGATTTATTGGAAAAGATTGTTCTAGTGTAAAAACTAAATGAAAAGAATAAATGCTATTGATTTTTTTATAGATATAATAATAAAATGATAATATTATATGTATAAATATTTAATGTATATAATTAAACAATCTTTTTGTTTTTTAATATTAATTCTTTTTTTTTATTTATATACATAAAAATTATTAAAAAAAATAAATAATTTAATATATAATTTTTATAAAAAAAACTATATATTTTTTGAAAAATATTTTGATTTATATATAATTACTTTTTTTTTAAATAAAAAATATCATTTAATTTTTATAATTTTATTCATATATAATAATACAAACAGAAAAAAAAAATACAAATTAATTTTTTTATTTTTTTAAAAAATATCAATTATAGTTATACCTATAATAAATAATATATTTATAAAAAACATTCACTATTATAAAAGCTTAATCCTCTATAAGCTTTCCAAAAAATATACCAAATCAAAAATACTTTAAAATCTTAATAAATTCAATGAAAATATTTCTATATTTTTCAATTACTATATATTATATATTGGAAAAACAATTTTTTAAGTTCTCCTTTTTTTTAATTTTAGAATTTAATTTTTGCTCATTATTTATAATTTCACTGAAATTTTTTAAAAAAAATTATTAATATATATATAATAAAGTTATAATACATTTATTAGATTCTTTATCTTAACCTTCTCTATTATTTTTAAACTACATTTTTTTTACCAAAAGTAATAATTTATTATTTTATTTAAATAAAAAGTAAGATATTAAACATAATATTATATATAAAATAATTCCAGGATACAATATATAACATTTCTTTTATATTAATTAAAACTTATTGGGAATTTAAAATAATGATTTTTATTTTCCAAAAAAAAAAAAAAAAAATGGTTTATTTTCTTTACTAAAGTTCCTGCTTTAGTTTAAATTATAATTTTTATTTTAAATAAATATTTAATTAATAATTATAGGTTAAAATTTAATCGAAAATTTCCATTTATTATAATAAAGCTTATATAATTATTTTTTTATACTAATTTATATATTTTATTTTTATATATTTTTAATATTAATTTATTTATAGATATTAAATATTTTATTAATATTTTATACATATATATAGTATTTTTAGTTTTAATAATTTTTTATTTTAATTTCTAATGTTATTTATATAATATATTTAGTTAACTCTTAAATTTTATTATAATTAACTAATAATAAAAATATAAATGCATTTATTATTATATAAATTATTAAATTTATTTAATATATTTTATTTTTATTTATAAGTTTTATTTTATAAATAAATTACTTTTACAAAATCAGTAGAATATATAAATATGAGCATTTATATATAGCTTATTTTTAAAATTAATTTTTTTATTTTTATTATTATTTTATAACAAGTTTATGCAATATTTATTATAATAAAGGTAATTTATATAATTTTATTAACTTAATAAAAAAAGTAATAAATTATTGCTAGAATATATTAATTTTTATTTTATTTTCTTGCTTAATTAATAATTAAAATGATATAGAAGTTTAAAAAAATTAAATGATTAATTTAGGCATATGGTTCTTATATTATCTTGAAATTTAAAAAGTGTTTTTTAATTAAAATATTTTTTTGTTTAAATTCATTATTATATATAATAAATTATTTTTTAATATTTATTATAAAAAAATATATATAATATATATATATTTTTCCAATTCATTTTAATTTATATTATTATATATTTTTAATATTTTCAATTTTAATATTTTAAAAATAATAAAATAAAATTTAATGAAAAAAAATATTCTTTTAAATAATTATTCTTGATAATTAATAAAAAAAATATAAATTTTTTCTAGATTTCAAACTATAGATATTAAAATAGTATATTAGATAATTTAATAATTATTTTTTTAAATACTTTATTTTAATTAAATTATTCAGTTAAATATATAGTTTAGTTAAATAAATTAAATTTATAATTATATAATTTTTAAATAATTATTTATTCTTTTAAATATATAAATATATATATATATATATTTATTTATATTTTAATAATTAATTAAATAAAAAATATATAAATTATTTATTATATTACTTTTATAATATTAATTATTTATATTTAAATATATTTAAATTTTTTAAATATTAAATATATAAAAATTTTTAAGCGTATTTTATTATGAGAAAACTAAATAAATAGAACTTAAAAATCTTAATATAAATATAATCATATATATCAATAAATATATAAAGAAAAACTAATATAAAAGAAAAAAAGAATTACTAAAAATACATTTGTTAATTTTAATATAAAAATTATAAATATATATATATATATATAATTATAAATATAATTATAAATATTATTAATTATTATGATTTAAATAGCCTTTATTTTCCAAAGAATATGTTTCTTTCTTTGAATAGTTTTTTTCAATATAGAAACCTGTTTATTTTATGATTAATATTATTTTCCACTTAAACAATCTACTTTCTTTTTATATTGTAATTTATTTATTCCATTCTTTTTTCTTTTATTTTATAATGAGATTTATATTTTTTCATTTATATTCTTCAAATTAGCTTCATATTACTTATAAACATAAATTATTGCTTATTTTATAATATACTTAATATTTTTTTTTTATATTTGTTATTTTTGTATTCTATATTTATTTATATATATTTTTATTATTATTTATTAATATTTTATTAATTATTTTTTGGTTTTGAATTTTATATTATTTTGTCTTTTATTTATGGATAATTTTAATATACATTATATTTTATTTTTGATAAATTTTCAATTTTAAATTAGATATATTAATTATTTAAATTAAATATATAATATTTATTTTTATATCTTTTATAAGAAACAAATAAAAATTAATTTTTTTTTATTTTATTTTTTAGATATATAAAAAAATATTGTTTTAATATTATTTAAATGAAAATATGATTTTTAAATAACTATTATTATATATATTAATATAATAGTTTTTAAAAATAAATATAGATTATTAGTACAGTATTTTTATAATATATTTAAAAATTTTTCTTTTATGTATCTATTAAATTTGAATAATATTTTTATTTGATATAAAATTAATATCTAATATTAATTTTAATATTTTTATATTTATTTTAGTTATTTTAAAAATATTTAAAAAAACTTAATATTTTATTTATTAATAAAGTATAAAACATATTTTATCATTTATAATTGCGTTTATATTCCTTTTAATTTCTTTTGGCTTTTAAAATTCTTTTAATTTTACTTAACTTCCACTATTTATTTATTTCAGAATTAATTTTACTTTTTATTTAAATATCAAATAATTATATATTTTTTTTCTATAATTAAATAACATAACAAAAAATTAATTTAATTATTAAAAATTTATAAATGAATTTTTTTAATTTTTTTTTTTTTATGAAATATCATTTATTATAAAATATATATTACTTTATAAAAAATTTTCATTTTTATATTTTATTATTAAGTAAATCATTATTTATTAAATAAATATTTAAATTTTAGATGTGATAATTTAAAAAAAAATATATAACTTTAAAAAAAAAAAATATAATATTTAATATATAATCATATATTTATTAATATACAATATAATACATAACAAATAGTTTATACATTTTTTTTTTTTTTTTCTGATTTAATTCTTGGATAGTTGCATTGAAGTTATATTTTTAAAATAAATTTAATAAAATTAATTTTATATAGAATAAATAAAGAATAATTATAAAAAATTCTTTTGTATATAAATATTTTTTATTTAACTTTATTTACTCAATAATTTAAAAAAAGAAAATATTATATATATATATATATATCCTTTAACACTTTAATGTCGTTTTAAATATATAATATATTATAAATAGAATTATATTAACAAAATTATATTTAAATATATAAATTAGCCATAGGTTATTTAATTATAAAAAAAGTGATAAATTATCAATTAAAATATAATATTTTTAAATAAAAAATTATAGAAAAAATATTAAATTAATTATTAAAAAAAAAATAAAGATAAAACATTTCTTCTTAAAGCAATAAAAAAAAAATATTAAAAAATTCTGATAAAATGAAAAAACTCATAATAATCTTATTATTAATATCCTGCATTTTCTGCCTAAAAGTGCTTAAACATTAATGTGTCCATGATAAAATGAAAAAAAAATATAAATACGAATCAATCCCTCCTGATTTGGAATCTTTAGATATCCGTCATTTACAAAATAAAACACCTCGTAATATGTTAATAAGTTACGATATTGATCATTTTAAAACATTAGAAAAAAATGCTTAAAATAAAATGTTAACTGCTGTCTGTGAGAAAACAATATAATTAGCAATAGATTTTTTTTCTCGTTTAATAAAAATAATCCCAAAATCTGAACCAAATATGAGGTATAAATAAAGTCACAAATGTGGGGAAGTAACTGTTCCTTAAAAGGACATAATTTAAGGAAAGAGATCTGACTTACATATATATGTATAATATAAAATAGAACCAGAAGAAGAATATTAAGCCTATGCTGGCTGGTGTTAATTTTTGGATGTTCTAGGACCTACTCATGGTTAGGTTGTATTCAATTTAGGTTAATTAAAAAGTTAAAATATTAGTAATCCTATTGAATTCGAAGATTTAATGGAAATAGTTATACATGAAATTATTCATATTTTGGGCTTCATGGGTACTGATATACCTAAATGGGTAAATAAATAAAAAATACATCATAGAGATCCTACTATTTAAAAATAAATAAGGGGTATTAATACTTTATTAATCAAAACTCCTAACGTTTTGGAACATGCTCGTAAATATTTCGGATGTCCTACCTTAATTGGTATGCCTCTTGAATATTCAGATGACAAATAATCTACGAATTCTCATTGGAGAAACTCAGACATACAAAACGAATACATGAATACATTTGTATCACCTACTTAGGCTTATTTTAGTGCTTTTACAACCAATCTTTTAAGAGACACGGGTTTCTATTTTGAAATCAACGCCTCTATGGAAGAATAAACATTCTTTGGATAAGGAGCAGGCTGTGATCATGTTCTTGGCAAATGCGATAAACCAACAAATGAATATTGTAATCCTTAGACTGATAATGATTTATGTGATTATTACCATCATGGATAATCTGCTTGTTATCAAGAATCTGGTTGCAATGTTTTAGTTAACTACTCAAATGGAAATTGCTGGGATACTAATAGTAATTAAAACACAATAGAGGTTTAATAGAATAAAGGAGCCAAATTTGGATTTAATTCTAGATGTTTTAACGGAAATTTATTAGTTAAAAGTTCTAAACCAAATAAATAAAATTAAAAAATAGAAGGAAATTGCTATGAATATGAATGTGATTCTAAAAGATAATAATTGACTATTTGGGTAGGTAAAATTAAGAAAGTTTGTAAGAATAATTTAGACAAATTGGAATTTGAGGGATATTAAGGTTATATACAATGTCCGAAAAATATATCTGAATTTTGCTCATTTAAAAAATTATGCCCTGGTTTTTGTAGTGGAAACGGATATTGCTTAAAAAATACATGTAATTGTGCTGATGAATATGCTGGAAACGATTGCTCTATTGAAAAAAATCGTTGATATATGCTAGTATCTCTCTAATATTTATGGTAAAAAATAACATTTTAACAATAAATAAATATATTTAAAATAAAATTTTATAGAGTAATATTAATTTTTATTTATTAATCTTTAAATAGTAAAAATTTAATTTAAAATATTTAAAAAAAATTTATAATTAAAAATAAAATATATAAATATTAAAAATAAATATTATAAAAATTAAAAAAAAAAATTAGTAAACTATATATATAAAAAAAAGAATTATAGTTAACTAAAAAAAAAAAAGTGTGTATATTATATATAATGACTAAGCATTTATAAACAAAATAAAATAAAATAAAATAAAAAAAAATAAAATAAAATAAAATAAAAAAAAATAAAATAAAAAAAAATATTTATATATATATAAATATTTATATATATATATTTACATTAAATAAAATAGTTAAAACGTATAAATTTTTATTTTATATACATATATAATATTTATACTTATAACTTCTTTTTTTATTTATTATAATTTTTTTAAAAAAACAATTTGTAATTTATTGTTACAAAATTTATTTACATATCTAATTTTTTTAATTTATTTTTAAATATTTTTTAATTTTTTATTTATATCATTAAATATAAAATAAAAATGAATGATTTTTTTTTAATTTATAAAATTAATACTATAGTTATATTTTATATATTAATAATTAATTTTATTACTCATTTATTTTTTTATTTATATAAATTTATATTTCGAAAATTTTTAATTACTTAATTTATTCTTTATTTTATATTTATTTAAATATTGAATATTTTTTTTAATAAATATATTAATTTATATTTGCCTTTCATAAAAATATTTTTAATACATTTGATATGAATTTTTTTAGCAAACAATAAATTCAATTACTTTCAAAAATTAATTTTTTATTATCTGAATACTTTAATTATTTGTAATTGATTTAAGAATTTTATAAGTAAAAAATAAATTGAAAAATATATATTGTTGAAATATATTTAAATATTTTCATAAATCAAATAGTTTTTTTTTGTAATGTTATTTCTTATTGTTAATAATTTAAATGAAATTAATAATTTGCTTAATATATATATTTATTACATTTATTTTAGATTAAAGTAATATTAATATGTTTTAAATATAAAAAAAATGAAAAAGTATATATTATAAATGAATATTCTTTACATATAATTAATTTTATAAATATTATATTAAATATTTATAATATAGAAAACAATAAAAAATTAAGTTAAAATATAAATAATAAATATGTTTTTGTAAAAAAAAAATTAAAATATATATTAAATAAATATAAAAATAATAAAATTAATTAATTTATATATATATATATATATATATATATATATATATATACTTAATTATCTAATTTTTTAAATTAAAAAGATATATTTTTAATATTAATAAAAAATTAATGAATTTAGAAAATTAAAAAAAATTATTAAATGAAAGTTTTAATAAATAATATTTTTAAATGTATATTTAAATTTTTAATGATCATTATTGTTATTTTTACAGAAATATAATTTTTTATTTAATTTTATATAATTATATGATATAAAAGTCATAAAATAAAACTTTTTAAAACACAATTAATTCTCTGAGTTTCCTTATTATAATTCAGTTATTAAAAAAACTTTAATATATTTGGACTCTAAATATTATAATAGTATTGATATCAACAAAAAGTAACAAATTAAATTCTATATATTATAAAGATTATTATTTTTTTAATCCTTAAAGATATATTGCTTTACATAATTTTACTTTTTTTATATAATAAAAGTATTATGGAAAATAGAATTAAATAATTTATTTTTTTAAATTAAGACTTTTTAATTTAAATATAATATAAATTATAAAAAAATGATTTATGATATAACTTATTCTCACAAAGCTTTTAATAAATTAAGAATTAATAGGAAAATTAAAAATATAAGGAATAAATAAAATAGTTTATTGAAAAAAAAAAAAAAAATTATTAAAAAAAATTATTAAATATATCTTATATTATATTTTTTAATAAACCTGAAAAATTAAATGATAAAACAAAACAAAAAATTAATTATCTTAATTAGTACTATTAAAAATAACTAGAAATAATAATTTTATATATTTTTTATAATGTAAAGGGTAGAAAAAGTTGTTTTTTAGAAAATATATGAAATTAAAAGCCATATTATAAATAAATGAGTGCAATACTTTGATAAAATCCAAAAAAATTAATAATATTGTTTAAAAAATTTAATTTTAGATAGTTTCTGAAAAAGTATATTGTTATAATTATGAAAATTAATTTAAATATTAAATTTTTATTTTTCCTTATAAGTATATAAAAGAATTTAGTGATGTAAATTAATTCACTTTTACTAAGCTTAAGGACGTTACGGCATCTGTAGCTGCATAATATATAGGTAATAATAATAAAAAGTAAAAATTTATCGGAATTATTACCATAAAACTAATATTTTTATCTAAGATTATTAAAAATTATCACATTATACAAAATTTCAGATAAAAAATTATATATAAAATATTAAAAAATTAAATATTATTTAATTATAATTTTTTATTTATTTTTTATGATTAAAATTAATTTAATTTACCTATTTATTATTAATTAAATATAAAATTAAATTATTTAAAAATAAAATAATATAGATGTAAGAAAATAAAAGCAAATATTATATATTTTATTTTAAATATAATAATAAATTTTTATTTTAATAATAACATACTCTATATATATTATTTTATTTATAATTAATTTAATATAAAATATCATATATATTATATTTTTTTGTTATTTTTTTTGTTATAAAAAAATAAAAGATATTTAGTAATTTAATACATTCTATTACTGAATTGTTTTATATATTTTTATATTAATAATTTTTATTTTTTATTTTTTATTTTTTTATTTAATTTATTATTTTATTATAAAAATATTCATAATTTAATATTTTTTTTTTGATTTATATATATTTTTTTTTTATTTAAATAAATAATATTAATAAAATTAATTTTATACTTTTATCAAATTATTTTTATTATAATAAATAATATATATATAAATAGTATTTTTTTAAAAAAAAAACTATCAAAATATGAGGGTAAAATAAAATTGTGTAAAAAAAAAATCAATAAAAAAAAGATTTTATATATATATTTAATAATATTCTTTTAACTCAAATTAATATATTAATTATTACAAAACAACTGAAAATTCTTAATAAGAAAATGAAGAAACTAATTATAACCCAATTATTAATAACCTACATTTTCTGTCTACAAGTCCTTAAGCACTAATGTGTCCATGATAAAATGAAAAAAATCTATAATTACGAATCAATCCCTCCTGATAAAGAACCTTTAGATAACCGTAATTTATAAAATAAAAAACCCCGTAATATGGAAATAAGTTACGATATGGATTATTTCAAAAAATTACCTTCTAATGATAAAAATAAACTATTAACTGAAGCCTGTGAGAAAACTGTATAATTAGCAATTGAATTTTTTTCTTAATTAATAAAAATAGTCCCAAAATCTGAATCAAACATGAGATATAAACCTGCCAGTTAATAATAATGTGGATAAGTTGTAATTCCTTAAATAGATAAAGTTCAAGGAAAAATTTCTGATTTACATATATATGTATAATATAAAATAGAACCAGAAGACGAATATTTAGCCTATGCTGGCTGGTGTTAATTTTTGGATGGTTTAGGACCTACTCATGGCGAAATTACTTTTAATTTAGGTTAATTAACAACTTCAAATTTTAATGATCCTATTGAATTTAAAGATTTAATGGAAGTAGTTATCCATGAAATTATTCATATTTTGGGTTTTAACGAGACTGATATACCTAAATGGGTAGATTCTAATAAATCTTATTATACTTAACCTACTATTAAAAAAAAAATAAGGGGAAAGGATACTATATTGCTCAAAACTCCTAACGTTTTGAAGTTTGCTCAAGCATATTACTCATGTCCTACTTTACCTGGTATGCCTTTAGAAAATTTAGGAGAATAAGGGTCTAAAGGATCTCATTGGAAATACACAGCCATCGAAAACGAATACATGAATGCATTTACATCAACTACTTAAGCTTATTTTAGTGGTTTTACAACTAATCTTTTAAGAGATACAGGTTTCTATCATCAAATCAACAACTCTATGGAAGAAAATATATTCTATGGAAAAGGAGCAGGTTGTGACCACATTATTGGTAAATGTGATTTAACCAAAAGAGAGTTTTGTGATCCAAAAAAATAAAATGGATTATGTGATTATTACAATCTTGGACCTTCGAAATGTATGTCTAATTAATTTAATGAACCTGGCTGTAATACTTTAGAAATCTATAAGAATGCAAAATGCTGGGATGTTAAAAGCAATATTAACACAAAAGAAATTCAGGATATGTAAGGAGTTAAATTTGGTGTCGAATCTGGATGTTTTAACTCAAACATATTGAAGGAAGATCCAAAAAATAAAAAAATTTAGGTTTTAGGTTGTTGTTATAAATATGAATGTAGTTCTAATGGATAATAAGTAACTATTTGGGTTGGATCCAAAAAGGTCGTTTGTACAAAAAATTTAGAAAATATGAGTGTTAAGGGATATACTGGATAAATATAATGCCCAGAAAATATAGCCTTATTTTGTGGGTTTAAAAAATTCTGTCCGAATTTCTGTAGCGGAAACGGATATTGCTTAAATGGTAAATGTTAATGTTCTAAAAAATATTTTGGATAAGATTGCGGGAAAAAAAATCCATTTAAATTTTGAAAAAAAATAAAGTTTTCAATTTGATAAAAGAAAATAATATTATATTATTGTATTTATAAAAAATATAGTTTTTAATAATATAAAATTAATAATAATAATTTATTTTAAATAATATAAAAAAAAAATTTTAAAAAAAAGATTATGAAAAAATAATTTATATAATTAAAAAAAAAAAAATCTAATTAATTGATGTATAAATTAAAAATATTATAATAAAATAAAAAAATATAAAATTAAAAAAATAATAATATTAAATTAAAAAATTAAAAAAAAATGAATATATATATAAATATATATATATATATATATACATATATGTATATATATTTATATATATAAAATTATTTTTAATTATTAATATTATTTTTATTTTTATTTGGTTATTTTTTTTTAAATTTATTATATTTAAAAATTTATTAAATATTTGTTAATTATAAATTATTGTATTAAATTTTTTTTTTAATGAATTTGATTTAATTTTTTTTAATATTTAAATATTAATTTTTTTTTTTATAATATATTTTTTGTTTAGAATTTATTATTTTTTTTAATTAAAATTCATATAATTATTATAATAAAAAACTTTAAAAATAGATAATTTATATTTTATTATAAATAAATCAAAATAATTATTTAAAGCATCAAATAAAAAAAAGTTTTACAATATTTATAATAATTTAAGTATTAATATAATTTATCAATAAATAAAAAAATATATAATTAAATAAAAGTATAATATATTATTAAATTTAATATGTTGATTATAAATGTATAATAAAAAATATTTTTAAATAAAATAAAAAAATATAATTAAAAAATATTCTATAAAAATTTTTTAGAAATTATTAATAATTATGTGATTAAATTATTTTCAAATATAACATAATTTATATAAAAAATATTATTATTATATATCTTTAAATTAATATTATACAAAATTTCATAATTATTTTCCTAAAACAATAAAATATATTTAAGTAATTATGTGATATTAAATTATTTAAATTAATTAAAATATTATATAAATTTATAGAAAAAATTAAATTAAAAAAAAAAAATATAAAATAAAAATTAAATTTAGATTAATTTGATTATAAAACTTTTAAAAATATGTTAGAAAATAAATTGTTAAAATAAAAAAGTAAATATATAATACAAAAAAATGTAATATATAACATAAACATATATAATATATAATTAAAATAAATAAATATAAAATAAAAAAAGAAATTAAAAAAATTTAATATATTAATTTATTTATTTTAATTAATAAAAAAAAAAAAAATATTATTTCATTATAAATATATATATATATAATATTTATTTATTTTTTAAAAAGATAATAAATATTATATTAAGTATAAATTAAAATAAGATATATATATATATTAGAATAATTACAATTTATATAATATATATTAATATATTTATTTATATATATATATATATAATTATATATATATATATATATAAATATTTTCAATTTCTTAAAATATATAATTTTTTTTAAAATTTTTTTATTATTTAGATATAATATCACTAAGATCTAAAATATTTGTTATTTTATTGGAAGTTTACTTATTTAATTTAATCATCAAATTTAATATATATTTTAAATATACATAAATTTATGTTATTAAAATCATCAGTAAGTATTAAATATTTAAAATTAACTATGAAAAACTTAGAAACTTTTAATCTAAATAATGTTATAATGTATATAAATTGTTTTTTTTATAAATAAAACTAAAATATAATAGACATAAAGAAAGGCGATTAAAATTAATTTTTTCTCACCTTTTTTATTGAAATAATACAAAAAAAATAAAATAAAATATGCTATAAAGTATTATATATAAATCAGATAATTTTTCAAATATCTATATATTTATAAAAAACTGGATAAAAATATTATTTTTTATTTTTATATTAACAATTTCTATTTATCTGTGTAAAATTATTTAAATAAAATATATTTTTTTTATTAATATATATATATTTATATATATATATATTTATTTTTAAAAAAAGAAAATATTTTATATATATATTTTTTTTAACTTTTTTTTTATTAAATACAAAAATATAATTTACATATTATATATTTAGATTAATATCTTAGAATAATATTTAAAAAAAAAAAATTTTTTTTATTTTAATATATTATAATTATTAGACATATTAATATATAAAGAGTATTTATTTTTTTTATTTTTGGATTTATTTATTTTTTTTACTTTTTTTTGGTAATTTTAAACATGTTTTATTAATTATATTCAATTTAAAGTTAAGAAATACATATAATATTTTCTACATTTAAAAAATATATTTAAATTGATTTTTTTTTTTCTCGCACATTTAAAATAATAACATATAATTTTATTTTTATATAAATTTTTTTATATTATTAACAATTTTTTTTGTTAACTAAATTTATATTATAAAAATACAATAGAATTAATTTAAATGTGTATATATTATAATATCATTTAAAATAAATTAATAATAATCTTTTGAAAAAAATATAAAAATAATTGAAATTATTTCATTAAAAAAATGAAATTTAAATAATATTATTTTAAAGCATATACATATTTTTAATCATATTTTTTTTATCTCCAAATTATTTCAGTTTTTTTTTTTAATTTTTTTATATCTAAAAGATTTTTTTTTTTTAAATCAGTAATTTTTTTTTTTTTTTTTTTTTTCTTATTAACTAATATATAATTTCTTTCTATTTTCTAATTTATTTTATTTTAAAATAAAATAAAACTATTTGTATATATTTTTTATTAAAAAGTAAAAAATTTTGTTATATTAAAATATTTGATTAATACATATTATAGTAATATATTAAAAAATATTTTATTTTATTTATTTTTAAATTATTAGAAATATAATTATTATAAAAGATATTATTAGATGATATAAATAAAATATTAATAAATCAAATAACAAATATTTCAACAAATAAAATAAAATGAAAAACTCATACTAACCTGTATTTTCAGTCTAAAAGTACTCTAATAAAATGTTTTAACGATAAAATGAAACAAGTATACAAATAGGAACCAATCACACCTAATATGGAATCTTTAGACGTCTGAAATTAAAAAATAAAAAATCACGTAATACGAAAAAGCCATATAATTGGCAACTGACTATTTTTCTCATTTAATAAATTTAGCCTCAAGATCTTAATCGAATATGATATATAAAAATTATAAATTTGGATATGTTTAAATTCCTTTGATAGACGAAACTATATAGGAAACAATTATGTATTACATTTATATTATTCATATATAAAATTGATCCTTATTAAAACTATAAAGCCTTTGTATTATAGTGTTAACTTTTAAATGGTATAGAACTTACTAATAGATTAATTAACTTCAATTTAGGTCAATTAGCAAACTTATATAACAATTATTCCTATTGAATTCAATGATTTAATGAAAATAATTATCAATAAAATAACTCATGTAAAAAAGTATTTCCTTAGAGATCTCCTCATATCAAGCCTAATATGTAATATAAAAAAAAGGAATCGATACTTTATTGCCTATAGTTTTAAAGTTTGCTCAAGATTATTTTAGATATCCTACCTTATTGGTATGCCTCTTTAAAATTTAGTAGGCAAATATTCTGAAAATTCTCATTAGAAAAACACAATCATCTAAAGAAAATATATCAATTCATCCATATAATCTATTTAGGCTTATTTTTGTGGTTTTAGAACTAATATTTAAAGGATATATGTTTCTATGCTGAAATAAATTAAATTATAAAAAATAAACATTTTATTATGCTATAAAACAAATATTTTAATCCTGAAAATGAGGTTGGATTATGTGATTTAAATAACAATATATCTGAAAATTATAAAATTGTTTTACATAATAATCATGTTACCAATATTTACTCACAAAAATGTAAAATACAAAGATATTAAAAGTAAATTTATCAGAGATGCTTTAATATACAAAATGGCACTATATAACAAAAAAAAAATGTAATAATAATAACATAAAAAAATAAAAATAAAGGTAATTAACGTATATGATAATAATTAAAAATAAATATATAAATAAAAAAAATATTTTGAAAACAAAAAAAATATATATAAATATTTATATAGTTTGAAATATAATACTTTTAAAAAAGTATATTTTAAATTATAAAAAAAAAAATTAATAATTATTTATAAAAAATATAAAAAAAAAAATTGAAAATATTTTATTTATAAATGAGAATATTTAAAAAAAAAAAATTGTGTAATTAAAAGATAAATTAAAAAAATAAATATAAATATATATATATATATATATATATATAATTATATAATTAAATTATTTATATTTTTATATATATAAACATTATAAGATTATACTATTTACTTTTAAATTTTTTTTTTTGGTTTTATATAATTTTATTTATTTAAATTAATTATTATTTTTACATTAAATGTTTTCTGAATTTTCATCATCATAACATTTTAAATTCTAAAATTCATAAGATTAATAATAAAATCAATATTTCTAATTTACTCTTTTTTATTTTTTATTTATCTTATAATTAAATAAGATATCTATTATTAATTTTTTTTAATTTATAATACTATATTTATATTAAAATATTTCTTAAAACCATTTATGATTTATTCGATTTTCAAAAATATATATATATATAAAAAAATAATTGATTAAATATTTTTAATAAAAAAAAAAAATTGATTAAATTTAATTAATTTTTTAAATTAAACTAAATAATAATATTATAAAAAAATTCTATTTATAATAAAAATGATAATGAAGTCTATAATATTTTTTAAAACTATTTTTTGACTGTATTTTTTTCAATTTTTTTTTTGCAATAAAATTTATTATTTAAGCAATAATTAATTGTATTATATTAATTAATATAGATTTTTTTATATCATGCAATAAGTGTATATTTTCAAGACATTAACTTTTTTTTATATATCACTTTAATTTAGTAAATAAATAGTTATATATTTTCTATCATATTTTTATTCATATTTATAGGAACTAATCTTTATTTTAAATATTTTGCCATTCTTTCAATATATTTGAGTTAAAAAGTCCTGAATTAACACTAAATTAAACTAACTCTGCATCCTGATTTATTTATGTCATAATATTACTTTTAATTTCCTAATATTTTTTTCTTTTTTATTTCTTATTAATATCAAAATTATATAGCCACGATTATTAAATTACCAGATAAACATTTAAATGGCCCTAATATTGTAACAGTCACATAATATATTTTATTAATTACATTAGCCAGTGATATTTTAATAGGCTCCAGCTTATTGATAGTATATATTTTCTTTAAATAAAGATATTTATTTCAGCATAAACTGTTTCTTTTAAATAATTGGTGTAAATCAAGAAAATACAATGCAATTTATACAAATATTTTCATATATTTTTTTTCGATGTTTGAGTTTTTCCGATGATATCCTTGAGAACATAAGCCTACTAAATTATCTAAAGGCATGCCAAATAAGATAGGATAGAGAAAACATCAATACGTTAGAAGTAAACTATTAACTTTCTTTTATAATAATAGGTTATCAATTAGGAATTACACTTTTAGGCATTAAATATTGTTAAAATATAAAATAATAGTATTCATTGTAATATTATAATAGATAACTATTTTTATTATTAAATCTTTAAATTAATAGAATCATTCATATTTTAACTTGCTAATAAACCTTAAATTGAAATTAACTTCACTATGAACAGGTCCTAGATCACCGATAAAATAATACTTATAAGCCGCCATATGCGAAATAATTTTTTTTATTATATTTTAAATTATACATATATATTAAAATCAGAAATCTTTCCTTGAACTTTTATATTTAAGGAGTGTTAAATTATTTAAACTATTTTAATTGTCGGTTTCAAAACTCATATTTATTCTGATTTTGAGAATATTTTGTAAAATGAAAAAAATAATAAATCTATAATTATAATTATATAGCTTTCTCACTGATATTAGTTAATATTTTATTCTAAGGATTATTATATAATAAATTGAAATAATAAAATTCGCTTTTATTAACATATTGAGTGGTTTATTATTTTGTAAATCAAAATATCTAAAAATTCAATATAAGGTGTAATATAATCACATTTGAAGAAAATTATTGTTGGAATACATTTAGAAAGAAAATACTGGTTATTAATAATATTATATGATATAAATAATTTTTTTTTTAATTTAATAGGTGTTATAAACAATCTAATCTTATAATTATCATATATATTTATATATTTATATAAATAAGTAATAAATTTATTTATATTTTGATTAAAATATTTCAAAAAAAAATATATATTTTAGGTTTTCTCTTTAAAATATAAATAATTAATTTTTTTTTTTATTTTAATTTTTTATAAAATAAATATCTTTTGCTAATTTTAATAAATATGGATATTTATTTTATTTAAAATAATAGAAAAATCAATTTTTATATATTTCTATATTTTAAAGAATATTTTTCATATTTATGATTTCTACAAATTGATTATTGTGCTTATAAAGACATTAAATTTTTCTAATAAACATTTGTTTGTTGTAATTTTAATTATCTATTCTTTGTATAAAATTATAATTAATAAATTATTTCTTTAAATATAATAAAAAAAAATTATTCAAATAAAAAAAATAATAATTTTTAATATGATATAAAAAAATATTTATTTAAATAAATAATATTAAAAAATAAATAATAAAATACATTTTTTACAGAAATATTCTTAAAATATATATCATTAATATAAATTATCATTTTATTATTATTTATATCTTTAATGATTTAAAATTTATATGTAAAAAAATTATAATTAATATAATTTAAAAAAAATATTTATTGTATAAAATAAATATATTTTTATTAATAATATATGAAATGTAAATTAATATTTTTTATAAATAATTAATTTTATTTACTTTTTACTTAATTATTTATAAATATACGTATTTAATATATTTTTAGATTTTTTGTATATAAAATAATTATTATAGTAGTAGTATATTAATTAAAAATATCTAATATTAATATATTAATATGATTTATATAAATAAATAATTAATTTAATTATAATATTTATCTTATTCTGATGCTTTTTTACATATCTTTTATAATGATATGTAAAATTAATTATAGGATAATAAATTTGTTTAATAATTTTAATTTACTTTGCTGTATAAATATTAAATCATTAAAATAAATTTTGATTAATTAAAAATAAGATAAAGATGTAGACATATTATATAAATACATTATATTTAAATAATAAAAAAAAATACAAAATATTAAAAAATAATAAATGAAAATACTTATAATAACCCTATTATTAATAACCTGCATTTTAAGTCTAAAAGTCCTTAAGCATAAATGTTAGCACGATAAAATTAGAAAAAACTAGAAATACGAATCAATCCCCCCTGATTAGGAATCTTTAGATATCCGTAATTTACAAAATTTATAACCCCGTAATATGATAATTAGCTACGATATGAGTTTTTACAAAACATTAGCTTCTAATGAAAAAATATAAAATGTTAACTTCTACTGTTGAGAAAGCTATATAATTAGCAATTGACTATTTTTCTCGTTTAATAAAAATAATCCCGAAATCTGAACCAAATATGAGATATAAATAAAGTAGTCCCAAATGTGGTGAAGTAACTGTTCCTTAAAATGATAAAATTTAAGGAAAAAACTCTGATTTACATATATATGTATCATATACAAATGATGAAGATGATGATTATATAGCCATAGCTAGTTGGTGTTAATTTGTTGATGGTCTAGGACCTACTCATGGTGAAGTTAACTTCAATTTAAATTTTATGGGAAAAAAAAATATTAATGATCCTATAGAATTTGAAGATTTAATGGAATTACTTATCCATGAAATTACTCATATTTTAGGTTTTAGTAATTCAGATATACCTAAATGGATAACTCATAATAAAACTCCTCATATTGAACCTACTATTAAATAATCTATAAGGGGAGTTGAACATTTACTAATTAAAACTCCTAATGTTTTGGAGTTTGCTCGTCAATATTTTGGATGTCCTACTTTACTTGGTATGCCTTTAGATTATTCAGATGACTATTAATCTTCAGATTCTCATTGGAAAAGCACAGACATACATAACGAATACATGAATACATTTACATCAATTACTTAGGCTTATTTTAGTGGTTTTACAGCTAATCTTTTAAGGGACACTGGCTTCTATTTTCAAATCAACGCCTCTATGGAAGAAAAAACATTCTATGGAAAAGGAGCAGGATGTGAACACATTTTAGGTAAATGTAAATCATCAGGAAGAGAATATTGTGATCCTAAAACTGACTAGGATTTATGTGATTATTACCATCATGGATCTTCTATTTGTAAAGTTGGATATTAAAATGATGCTGATTGTAATACTTTAAATGCTTTCGCGAATGCAAGATGCTGGGATACTAAAAGTAATTTAAACACAGTAAGAGCTTAAGAAAATTAAAGTGTTAAATTTGGGACTGATTCGAGATGTTTTAACGCGGATTTATGGAATTAAAATAAAGGCAAAAGTCAAATCAAAAAAAAATCAGGTTATTGTTATAAATATGAATGTAGTTCTAATGGATAATAAGTAAATATTTGGGTCGGATAAACTAAAATTATTTGTAAGAAAAATTAGGAAATTTTAAATGTTAAGGGATATAGTGGACAAATATAATGCCCTGAAAATATATAAGATTTTTGTGTGTTTAAAAAAATGTGTCCAAATTTCTGTAGTGCAAATGGATATTGCTTAAATAGTAATTGTTATTGTGCTAAAGGATTTTCTGGAATAGATTGCAATACTAAATTACCTACTTTAAATAAATTATGATAATTCTATTATTTTTTATTAAAAAAAATATTTTCTAATTAATTATTAATTATTATATAAAATATAAAAAATATAATTATTATTATCGTAAAATAAAAAAATATGAAAAAATTACAATAAACAAAAAATGGTAAAAAGTATAAAAGCATATTATATATTATTTGCAAATGTAAATAAAAAAAAATTATATATATTTTTTTTTTAAAAAAAAATTAAATTAAAATTAAAAATAAAATAAAAAATTAATACAAATGAAAAAAAATAAAAGAAAAAATCAATATAAATAAAAATATAAATATATATATACAAATATATACAAATAAATGTAATAAAAAATAATAATTATATATTTATATATTTATATATTTATATATTTATATATATTATATTTATTATAATCATGATTTATATATATTTTTGAATATAAATTAAAATTAATTAATTATTATATTTTACATTTATATAATAAATTGTGACTTATTACACTTATATTAAAAGTAATTAATAAAATAATATTTAATCATATAATATATTTAAATATATTTTCTTAGTTATATAATACGAATAAAAAAATATAAACTAAATATAAATAAATTTAATATAAATTATTTTATTTAACTTTATTTTTTTTAAATTTGTTCATTTTCAATTAATTATATATTAAAATGTATATTTTGAAACTTTATATTTTATATTAATCTTTTTATTATATTTTTTTTAATTATAAAATTAATATTATTTAAAATATATTTATTTTAACAATAATTACAAAATATAAAAAATTTTAATTATTTATTTTATATAATTAATTATATATATTATTATGTAAATAAAATTTAAAAATATTTCAAATAGAATTATTATTAAATTTTTGCATAAATAAATAATATTACATAATTAAATAATTAATTTTATAAAAAAATTATTTATTAATATATATATATGTTTTATAAAAGTACTATAATATTTTAAATAAAAATTAAAAAGCTTATATATTTATCAAAAAAACTATTCAAACTTTTCAATATAATTCTCTTTTAAGTAAAAGAAGCAATTAAATAATTAGTCCAGTTAAAAATATAATTAAAAACTAAAGCAAAAACTTAAAGAAAAAAAAATATATATAAAATTATTTTATTATAAACATCAAAAATCTTATTATATTATTATAATTGGATTGAAAAAATGACGAAAATAAAAAATTGATAAAAATGTTTTTTAAAATTATTATTTTATAAAATATTTTATGGATATCCTATTTTATAATGAAAAAATAAAAGAAAGAAATATTTAATTTGAATTATACGGAGAATAGTGAGATGTAATATCTTATAAATGTAAAAAAATTATAAAAAAAACATTTTATATTGTATATTATATAAAATAAGGAAATGATTTTATAAAGAAATATATTGAAAAATTTAGGATAATGTGGAAATGTTAAAAATCATCAGAAATCGATTAATTAAAATTGTTGTAATTATATATAATTTATTATAAATTAAAAAATATTTTTATTAAATTACATAAAATATAGACTAATATTCAAGTTTTGATTATGAATATTAATTATAAGTAAAATAATATTAATTTTATATTAATAAAATAAAGTTTTATATTTATATATACATATATATTTACTTTAAATTGATTATTTTTTGTTATGTTATATTTTTTAAATATAAATATATGTATTTTAAAATAATAATATTTTTATAAATGAAAATATTATATTTTTGAAATAAATATTAATAAAAAATTGTATTTTCATAAAATTATCTTAAAATTTTTAAAAATAAAAATTAAAAAATATATTAAATATCTAAAATTAATATTTATTTTATTTATTTTATATATATATATATATTTTTAATATAAATATAAATATAAATATATATTATATATATAAATAATTATAGATTTATAAATATAATATATATTTATATTTTTATTTTAATAGACATTATTATTTTATATATATTTATTAAATATATTTTTTTAATAAAAAATATAAATTTTATTTATTTAAATAAAATATAATTTTTATATTATTTATATTCTAAATAATAAACTTTTTATTTAAATAAATTATGTTATATATATTTATTATCATTTAGTGATATATATCTTTTACCATACTTCGTTTTGCATTTGGTAATTCTTCTAAAGTATTACAACTAATTTTAAAAGATTTACCATTTTTGCATTATGAAGCTCCATAGTTATAAAAATTAACACTAATTTTCATATATTTTTTTCTAATTTACCTTAATTAAAGTTTACAAAGCCATGACTAGGTCCTATACTATTCAGAAATTTAAAACATTATCTTAAACTAATTAATTATTATATGAATCCTATATATAAGATACATATCTATGAAAATCAGATTATTTTCCTCTAGTTCTGTCTCTATTAATGTATCATGATTCTCCAAAATTTTAATTCTTTTATTTCAAATCTCATATTTCAGATTTCGGGATAATTTTTATTAAATGAGAATAATATTCAATCACTAACTATAAAGCTTTATCTCAGGCAGCAATTAGAATTTATTCTAAGGATTATAAGGCAACCTACGGGGATATCTAAATATTCTTAATAAGAGGGGGAGGAAGGATTGGGTTTATATATGTTGATTTATTTTATTTTATCGTTTTCATATATTTGACTAAATACTTATAAAACAAAAATAAAATTATTAATAATAGGGCGGGTTATTATTAATTCTTTGTAGATTTATTTTATTTATTATTAATATTATTTTGTTATATTTATTATGTGCTTTTATTTTATGATATTTATTTTTTTGATAATTAATATTATTTATCAAACAAATGTATATTTTTATTTTATGATTATTTGTTATTTAATAAAAATCTAATATATTTTAAATAAATATATTATATTATATAGCAAATTTATTATTTATTAATAAAATAAATAAAATGTAAATAATATAGATTAATATAATTTGAATAAATCTTATTATTTGATAAAATATGATAATTATATAATAAAAATAATTTATAATTATTATTAATACAAAATAAATTTTAATTTATAATGAAATTTGTATTCAAATAAAAAAAATTAATTTTTTTTCCTTTATCATTTAGTTTTTTAAAAATTTAGTCATTTAAAAAAATCATATTTAAAAATTTTTAATTTATATTAATTTAGTATAAATTAAAAATAATAAGATATATAATTAAAATTTTCCCCTTTATAATAAAAAATAATGAATTAATGATTTTTTTGTTAATTACAACAAGTAATAAAATATTATTTTTATTTTTATATGAAAATAACAAAAATATTTTGAATAAATATTTTTTAAAATTAAAATTGTATTAGCTTTATTTATAAATTGATTTAAAAAAAAAAATAAGAATTATGTTTTAGATTTGATTATAAGTTAAATTATAAATTAATTTTATATAAAACAATATTTTTTAAAAAATTACTTTTATTATTTATATTATATATTAAAATATAAATTTACATTAAAAAAAAATATTTTATATATTTAATATAATAAATTTAATATTATTTATATATTCATTTAATCAATATTAATTTTACTTAATATTTATATATATATTAAATTTCACTACATTTAAATGTCTTTATGTCTTTTAAATAATTTTTTTTTAATATCTTAATTTTAAATAAATAATACATTTTATTAATATTTATCTATTTATTTACATTATTAATATATAAAATAAATTGTTATAAAATTATTTTTTTTAAAATGATGATGTGTTAAAACATATACAATTTTAATTAATATTTATATATTATTAATTAAAAAAATAAACTCTTTAAGTACTTTAAAAATTTTGATTTAGAAAAAATATTAATCAAAATAAATAATATAAATCAAATTAATAAAAAAAGTTAATTAAAAAATGTAAAAACTTACAATAATCCTATTAATTAATAACCTTTGCTTTTGGTCTAAAAGTCCTCGAACACAAATGTGGCCATGATAAATTTAGAGAAAACTATAAATATGAATCAATCCACCCACCAGATACTGTTGAAGAATCTTCAGATATTCGTAATTTATAAGTTAAATAAGCTCGTAATATGATAATTACCTACAATATGGATTATTTCAAACCTTTAGCTACTTCTGCTTTGAAAGATAAGCTAATTTAAATAACCTATAACTGCTAGAAAGCTATAAATTTGGCAACTCAATATTTTTCTCGTTTAATAAAAATAGTAACAAAAAAGAAACAGATATGAGATATAAATACAGTAATAAATAATGTGGATTAGTTACAATTCCTATTATAGACAAAACTTAGGGAAAAATTCTGATTTACATTTATATATATCATATACAGTTGAACCAGGTAATAATACTTTAGCTCATGCTTCTTGGTGTT